ACATACGTATTAAATAAATACTGTACATCGTCTATGTTACCCCGTAAATAATATATTATATATTGTACATAATATACTACACATAGACCTGCAGGCCGGATTTACGGTTTGTTGGGGCTATAGATATATAAACATTAGGAATAAAAGCTATATACACACCAACAGACTAAAAAATAAAAACCTCGATCCGTGATAATCTATAATATTTGATAACTTACACAATAATTATCGCTCTGTAAAAAAGTCTGCAATAAACCTCTCGTGAAGGAGTTTTTCTCTGCAGATTTTCTATTTACAGGCTCGAGATCCCGTACACTCAAGTTTTCTACGAATCGCGTTAGTATGGAACAAAACACGGTACCGAACGGCAATAAGATTCCAATCTTAAAATAATATATAAGGAATTTATGATGATATGTTATCTTGTAGTTTTTCAATATATGGGAAGTACCTAGATCACATTGGTACTCGCTTGGTACCAAGGAGGTACCTTCTATCGATTTAATAATATAAAAAAATAAAAACAACTGAAGATGACTCTTTTGTTAGAAAAGTATTGTACTGTTAATAATTTTTGTTTTCATTTTTTTTCGTTTGTTATATAATATAATAATATTTTGAAACAGAGGTTTTATTTTAAACAGTTATATTATATTTATTTTTTTCTTTACTTGTGACGAATACATCTTGTTTAACAGTCATGTAACTATCTAAATATAGGCATTACCTATAGACGGGTAAACTATACAAAAAGCTTAATGTATTTTTTAATTTTTATTGAAAAACAATTTTGAACATTTTTTGTCACTTTACGCTGAGATCCGTCTCATAATTAAAATAATACTATCTATATGTTATCATTCAATAAATTACAAATCGTCGTTTTATAATAAGTTAAACGGTTTACCAATATTCTTAAAATATGTGTTCAATCAAGCCATATTTTGTCCATCATCAGTTAGTGGCGTGCGGAGTGCCTAAAGGCAATTTTTGTATGGGGTGGTATATTTTTCAGCCCTTAGTGCCTAGTGGATGAGTATTTTCTACTATCAGTATCCGTGACACTCCACCTCAGTGGCGTAAATTGGTTAAAAACTAGGGGAGCAAAATCCAAAGCGCTTAGTTTAAATATATTTGTATTCTATGTATGTATGAAGACTCATTTTATAGTTTAGATTTTTAAAAACAAACTGTAGATAATAGGTTATAAAGGTACCCATATCGATAAATAATATTAAGTAAGTATATAAGAGTTCATTAACAAAAAGGTTGACATATCTGGGGGGTGAAATGATACCTTTGCCCCATACAAACATTTCAGAGGGCCCTCCTTGCCCAACTCATATATTTAATTTTATGTTGTCTTCTAAAAAACAATTTAATAATTTAATAATTGTGACGCTTCATCGGGATGTTTTTCAAAGGCGCTCGCACTCATCCACACACTCGTTTGTCCAACTTATACGGAGCTGCTGTGTACAACGGTGTAATAATATAATATATGTAACTGTAACACGATTTACGACCTTCGCACATTTCTTTGTCATAATATCGATTTAAATCTGCCGAAAAAACCTGTAAGATAATGAGTTATAATATATTATTATTTTAGTTTAACAGATGACCTTGCGTTGTGTTTGCGGAATCACCGAGAGTGTAGTTAAACTTGGGGGTATTTAGTATTTATACCTACCATATAATGTATATGCATAATGGTCCTAAGTGTGCCGACAGCCGACGGCTTAATAAAAGGATATAAATTAGTAAAAGTAAATGTTTCAGTGGCGTAAGTGTATAATCTAGTGAGGTAGGTAGTGAATAAAAATAATCATACCAAATAATTCTGTATAATGAAATATAACAAACAATCACAGTATATGCTTCGATTAAACCGATCGAGAAGGCTCATATTTTGTACATATTATTCAATATCAAATATTGAACTATTATCCCACGATATTTATATAGGTACCTGTATTTTATTAAAATTACAGTTAGCGGTCATGGCGTTCCAATAGCATAGGTACCTCAGTACCTGTCAAAAAACAAGTTTATAATATTATTACGAATGTTGCCAAATAAATTTTATGGTAACAAATCTTTTTGGAGAATACATATTTTGTAACCAACAAATAATAAATTATAAAATCATAATATGTTTATGTACTTATTAGTATTAGGCATTAGGTCTAGGAAACGTATAGGATTCAGAAATATTTTAGCTATTATTGTGCTAAAGAAATTTGTATTTCAATGAAATTTTTTTCAAATTTTTAAATATTTAACTCTTTTTTTTTTCTTGTTAGTTCATATTTCACTAAATTTGAAATTGTAAATTTACATTTTGCTTACACTTTTAAATTGGTATTGAATTTTTCTTCAAATATATAAAAAAATAAAAAGAATTAAAATTGAATCATCAAAAATGTTGTTTAACTTTTACATCCCTATTGCAACGATTATATTATAATTATTATAGTTGAAATTATTAACCACCACTGGCACTAAATTTGTATAAGTATACAATATAGTATTTACATACATTGTAGTAAAACTTAATTAATTATATTTAATATTTATGTTTAAAAATAAAATTAAAAATGTCTTTGTGTAGTGAATTATTAGATTTCTTGAACCATGCTGCAGTTATTAAATTACGACTTTCTAAAGTTTATTAAATTTTAAAACTGATATTATAATAAGTACATAATGAAAAATGTTATAAAATTACAATATTACAATTTTCACTCAAATTATTTATAAGTAGGTATAGGTTAGAGGAATAAATATGATGACGTCATCGATGCATCTCCCCAGTTCATACTCTATAATTTTTCATGCAGAATTCTTTATAGGTACATCGCGTAAACCAACACCCTAATGAATTTAATATTATGTGCATGGTTACCGTTTAAAAACCGGTTTTGCGTTTCTAGCAGTACGATTACCTAACACCCGGACATTCGTTCAAATGCAAATAAAGATTACTTATTAGGATTATAAAATAATGAGAATTTTCGCTTCCTTCCTGTGAAGTGTCACCTGAAGTGTTTCAGTGTTGGGTAAACGTGAATGCCGTAACCTAACCTTTATATGGTCAGGTTAACCTATAGTAATAATATTGATACCTCCGAAAGACGTAAATAATTTGATTAATTGACCAATTATTATTGATTTTATAATATCGGTCGTATGATGACCTTAAAATATACGTAAATATTATATCGTACATTGTGATCTAAGTTTGGACTATAAAACACCAGATACTAATAATTACTACCTATACTCTCTGCAAAACGAGGTATTATAATGTACCTATCGTTCTTGACATGGACATTTCCATATGCGTGACCATGTATTTAAAATCGTGACCAATATTGATTTTTTTATTCTCGACGACCCGGGTAATGGTAATAATTATATATTGTATCGCTCGCGATGTATTGTATTAATATAAATAATCAATTAAAATATACTAAACGACGTCGAGGCAACGGAATTTGAAATTATTATAATCCATCCTGTAAATAGGTTGTTATTTCAATCGTGAAAAAGAAACATTATACCTATACATTCATTACGCATATATATACTTGCAATATCTGCTGTCATTCACTTATAGGGTATATTTTGAATAATTTAAACATCGAGAGACCCACCTACATAATAATATATGCAACCACGTGTGTTTCTCCGACGATCCAACTTTCGTACAATTACCCGCGAGCTGTTTCGCGAGTTTGTGATGACCGTTCGTGTTTCAACGGTTATGATACGACTTTTCCCAGGTGCGAATAATACCTAACGAGAAAAAAAAAACTCTGACAAACTTACGGTATTACGTATAGTATGTTATACAAAAACCTATACAGTATATACTGTACCATGACCAGAAGGTTTAAGATGTTTAGAAGGGCCGCGGTCGTATAGAGCTGTATACCCTCCACTAAAGCCCTGAGTATACACATGTATGTGTAGGTATGTGACCAATACACAAAATAGCATATAATATTTTACTCGTAGGTAAGCCAGTCATTTTAGTAAAAATGATACTCCAAAAGTATTTGTTGATAACGATGTTTTATAAAATAATACATTTCTATATAGGTACATATTATTGCCTATATACAACGGCACCCATGTTTTTTTAAAATACCAAAAATTATTTTATTATAATATGTACCTAGGTAATATAAATTATAAATTGTGTTTAATAAATTGGTATTATTTCACACGAATATTTTGAAGTTTGCTTATATAAAATATAAACATATGTGCATATTATTTTCCTTTTTATTTGTAATACAACACAATTCCCGGGTTTTAATAATGTGGTCAAGAAGTGAATAAAAAACTATTTTTGTGCGAGTTGAAAACGATAAACGATTTGACTCATCCACGTGCTCAGACAAAGGCCGCTGACCCCAAGGTCACTGAAAAATCATCGGTTACGAACAACGTATTCTTCTTTTTTTATAACGTGTCAGTTTCTACCACGGCGAAGGCCGACAAAATAAACAAAAAATGGCCGATGTGTGCGCAGCGATAATAATAGCACGCGGACACGTATTTGGAAAATTCATTCGGATTATAAATACGAACATGAATTGTAAGCAAAAGCACAAGCTTACGACTCGAAAACCGGTAGAACATCGTTGGATTCTCGTCAGAAATCACCCTCGTTGCACACGCATAATTCGGTACCATTCTCACTTAACACTATTATATTATTGATATCATATTATAACAGCACGGGGTCATTATTTTAACACTCGATAATTATGGCTCTATCTAACCTCAAGCCCAAACATGAGAATATATCCTCACCTAACTCATACGGTCGTTGGAGGGTTCAGAAGCGTGGTTAGATTAAGGAACATAATATTATCGAGTGTTCTGCTATTTAAGCGAGTCATCAACGACCGGCGTTATTTATTTTTCTACGCGATATCCGTTTTCACGTAGATTTCGACATTTTATTTCCAGGTAAAATAGTCGTCATGATGTCTGCTGGCCCGTCGTCACTCATAATGGTTACCGCTCTGCTGGTACTGCATCACGTGACGGCGTTCACGTGCAGCGCTCAACGACACTGCTCCGGCCAATTGCGCCGAAATGCAACCGGTGGCGGCGGCGGCGGCGAAGGACTGACGTGGACTGGCGCCCAGTACCGGTTTGAATGCGACACGGTAGACGCGTTGCTCAGAGACAACGGCCGTTATGTGCCGAGAAACAACATCGCGCTCAGGGCTCAAATATGCGGAAACGACTTGTACTTGGCGTACCCCAGGTGGGTACCTGTAGAGCCTCTACGAATGTTGGACCAAACCGAATGGACCCTGGTCTTATAATATGATATTATATCATAAAAAACAAAAATATAATAATCAATGATTTTTCGGTTTTGTAAACTAATGATTTTAGTTGCCATATGATTTTCAGAAAGTGGACGAAAATATAAGCTCAATAGCAAATGATTAATTTTACACAATTTTTATACTGGTTACACAATCATATTATGTACTGCCCGGTCTCGATTTAAAAATGTCTTCGGCATTATAACAAGACCGATTTCATGTTCTAACATTGCTGTTTCAGGTTGCGGTCCGGCGTGCCAGCCACTGTGGCCACGACTTGCCTGTTTACTGCCGACGCGTGTAGTGAGGCAGTAATGACGCCTTACCCTTGCCTGTCGGTACAGGAACAGGGTAAGTCGGGTGAGGTGCAGAATGCCGTCGATCTGTACTTGGATGAGCAAGAAGTGCTGTGGGTCCTGGACACAGGAGTTGTGCAGACGTTGGACAAGGACACTGAACCGCTGAGGACGGGACCGCCAACCGTATGGGCGTTCGACTTGAACACGCGCAAGGTAATCGTTTTTTTTCACGCTAACATACCCAAACACAACCTCTGACACTTTAAGCCATTTCACTAATTTCACTTTGGAACAAGTCACTCTTTTGAATCGTGTGTGGCATTTATATTCGAATTTGCATTTTATACCTGTTCGTTATGTAATGAGTATAAACTAACTTTGCTTTCGCGTGTAACATTCACGAGGTACCATCGGAAAGCAAATATATTGATAAAATATCATTACCTTTAAACCAAATAAAATTATTGAAGACCGAGCCGATGTATAGCTGCATATTTAAATTGCCAATAATATTAACTATACCGAAAACTTCAGTGTTCGACATATTATTATTCATTTATCCCGTGAGTTTATTTGACTACCTAGATAAAATATATACGAGTGGGTATTACCTATGGAACAAATATTGAATTTTCGGCAGCTAACCCCTGGTTTTGGCCTTATCATCGTCATATAGGACAAATTTATGTGCCAGAGACCTAGGTTTATACAGGGTGATTCAACTATCTTAAGCCAGGCAATATCAAGAATTTCAAGAACAAATACACTATATTGATAACCTTTATAGAAAAATAACTTGGAATCACCCACCCTGCAGTATATTATATTACAGGCATACAGAGTAATAGGTGTATACATGGGCCACAGTCCATTTAGTTTAATACGATATCGTATCCCGGTATATACATATAACTATTATATATAATATACATCGTGAAATAATATAGCATTATAGCGTCGGGTAAGTTTATATTTATGTACCTATATTTGTATGCAACTAGAGCGTGCTAATAAGAGTTCTGTTGAATTCGTTTTGTAGGTCTAATTACTATATGTAACCCCCCACCAATTCAATATAATATATCGATCGAACTTGAAAATATTTTATGACGTTAATTACAATTTACAAACCACGTCGGGGTACGCATGTGATGTGGAATAACGATATCACTGCAAAAATGCGGTAATAATATGTACATTTCGATATAATATAGGGTGATCCACTTACATGGCTACAATAATATTTTTATTCACATTTTTTATATAGTTTAAAGTACCTATTTATAACATTACATTTTCACACAAAAATATGATTATTTTTTATCATAGTGTGGGCTTAGGTTTTATGATGTCCATATCTATATTATTTCTACTCATTATATTCCCAAGCCGAATTATTTTATTGACATTTGTATGTACAAATAGGAATATAAATATTTAATAAATAGACCTAATTGATATTCGAAATATTAAATGAACGAAGTAGCATATATACGCCAATGCTTTTACGGGGTACCTAATGTTATAATAGAATATACTATGTACAAGCTTTATATAGCTTATACGATAAATAAAAAAACAACGACAAATATTTACTCGAAAAATGAGTTGAGCCTCCACAGTTAAACGGATCACCCCGTATATAGAGTGGTTCGTACAAGAATAAATGATTAATGAACTAAAATGTAGAAATTCGATTTCGTTCGAGCGGCTACTATATACGAGCATATATATATATATATATAGTAGAGTTTGGGTAACCGTAGCTGCTGCAGCTCGTTAAGTCATACGCATAGCTGCTCTCGTCGCCGGGCGTGAACGTCAACGGGTGTTGTGCAACGTTCCATGTAGTTTAATAACTTTTATTATTTTCTCTCTCTCTCTCTCTCTCTCTCTCTCCACCACAAGAGACACATTGTAGGTACTATAGGTAGGCGCTCACACTCACAAATCTATATAGGAACCTACCCATAATAATAATACATTATAATAATGGGTTCGGTCGATAATATTATACGACAGCCGATCGGGACGATTGTCTTTGGGCGAGTCTCATATTATTATTATTATTATAACGCGTCTGGGCACAGATTATTGGACTGACGTAGTAGATACATGTATGAACAATAACACTGGTATATAATAATATGTATCGGTTTGACGGTCGTATTTTAGGATTTCAAAATAGGTATAATAGCGCTTTACGCCACCACGAAATCCAGGATTAACACTGCTATATATGCGATGTCTAGAATGGGCGTCCGATTTTGCTTTGTCGATATGTCGTCTGTGCATAATATTTGTTAATTATAATTTATAATTTGAGAGAGTTATGTGGTTATTAACGAGGGCATATGGTTTGGAAATAGTATAAGTGTATAACCTTATAGAGTAAGTACAGTTTATCAAAATATATTATCACGTCTTAAAAAATACATATATAATATTCTAGTTTTTCTATGAAATTTCACTATCTGTTTTAGATAGTGAGTATAAACTTTGTTTTAATTTATTCTCGTAATGCTATCATTTTGTACTAAAATATATTATATATAATCATTCTGTACTTGACGAAAATTTGAATGAGAAACAAGGAGCATATAATAGTAAGTACTGAGTTTTTTAGTTGAAATTAAATTATTTTGAGACATTGAAATAATTGTATGAAGAGGATCATTATAGTATTCAGTGAAATTATAAATAAATTATTAACAAACTAATGATTTCAGAATCACAATTATATTTTTGGACAATATGTCACAATTTATTTCAATTTATTTCAATTGGTCATATTATTTATAGGCTAACCTATGACAATTAAAAACATTTAAATTTGTGATATTCTGTCTTACAATATGTTATATAGTAAGTCAGTGTATTGTTTGGATTTCTAGACTTTTCTTATTGTAAATTGTTCATTTGTTTTATATTATATCAAACCACCAGAAATTTGAAAAGTGTTTTCGGTGTACGTGCATTTTATATTGTTTTATCTTACTTTTATTTTTTAATATAGAAACCATGTTGATAGCCTTTGAGGCACATAATTAAATAACAGTCCATTACCAGAAACATTTATAAATGTATATAATTGCAGCATAGAGTTAAGATTACCTACAATAAATTAAGCATAATATGTTAATGTTAAATCAATACCTTCTTATTTATTATAGCTGACTAAACAAAATATCGTTGTTCGCTTATCTTTGAATAGGTACGTACTGTCAATATTTCATTGGTTTAAATACTTTGAATCAGGGTTTTTTTTAATGATTTTTTCTGACTGCACAAACTTGTTCCCACTCTTGGGTTATAGTAGGGAATTTGTCTATGCAGCCTAAACCCTACGGACTGTTATCCTTTGAACTATCAGGGATGGCTCCAGAGGGGCCCTAGCCCCCCTCCCCCCAAAACTATATTTCTAAAAAATTGTATAGTGTTAAAAACAAAATTACAAAAAAAAATCATCGATATTATCTGAAAATTATGACTTCGTCGCCCCCTAGCTAATCATGTCTCTAGAGTTGTCCCTGTGAACTGAGCCGGCTAACCTACTGTATACTGTATACTGTACTATCTACATGTTTTACTTTTATAAGATTACATATAGGTACCTACTCGAACATAAAAATCCCGACTCTCTCATGATATACCAAATAAATCATTTTATACTAATGCACTATTTTTATTGTAAATTTGTAAATAATAATTTAAATTTTGTTTGTAAATATAAGTAATAATACTTACTAAGTAATATTTACTCGAAATAGGTAATTTGTAATAATAATTGTTTATAAAAATAAAAACAATCAATTGACTAGGTAGGTAGTAGGTACCTAACTATCGTATATATAATTAAATGAGAAAATAGGGCATTTGATGTCAAAACGCAGCTAGTATTCTAGAAAAGCGTTTGATCAAAAATTCATAGATTATCTAGATTCAAAAAACTACAACTTAATGTCAGTAAATATAAAAAGGAACATATTCTATACAGAATGGAATCGTATAACTATATAGAAATGAAAAAAAAAATTCAGATTTGGTTATTTCCAATAGGCAATTGAATAAATAATAAGTAATAAATATATTTAACTGTTGTAATTTTAATATTAGTTATCATTTTATATAGCACTCTACCACCACCACAAGCATGTGCTTAAAGGTAGTAGATATTTTTTTTGTTTAAAAAAAAAAATTGAAAAAAAAAACAGTATAATAAAGAATAATATAAACAATTTTTAATTTTAATAGAAACATTTTTTTTTTATTTTGAAGTTTACTCAATTATTGTTTTATAATATACAACAAAATATATCACCCTGAAATTCTTTCTTTGCACTGCACAGAGTAACAATTTACATTGCACAATTCCTTTTCTCACTGCAAAAAATGTGTCTCACAGCACACTAAAAAAAACCCTGCTTTGAATCATCAATTCTTTTGATTTTAGAATTGTACTTTAGAATTTTTAGAAAATGTATATACAGATAGACCTAACAAATTAAATAACTTTGGTTCTAATCTATATTTTTTAATTTTAATTTTATAATATATTATTATTTATTGACTTGGGCTGCATGTATAATATAACATTTTTATTTTTATTTTTTTAAATACTGACATTTTAATAATTGAAAGTGGCAAATTTGTAAACCGGGTTTTAGAAAAATGTAGACTGTAAAAATATTTATTTAAGTCATGTAGTTCATTTTTTAAAACTTTTTGATTGAATGAACTCATTATTTTTATGAAGCAGCCGTACAAAACATTTCAAATTCAAAAAGTATAACATTTTTTTACTATTTTAAGAGAATTTTTGAATAAGTACTAAAATCTAAATAGTTTTTAAAAAGTTAATACTTTTCAAATAAATGAGTCTTACTTTAAAAAATCATAAAAAATAAACTACATGACTAAATAAGTGTTTTTACAATCAATATTTTTCTAAAAACCAGATTTACAAATTGGCTATTTTTAATTTTTCGAAAAAAAAAACAAATTAAATTTAAATTTGTTTATTTTCAGTATAAAAGAATTAAAAGGTAGTATTATACGTGCGACACAAGAGTCAATAAATTATATACAACAAAAAAAAATTAAAAAATATTGATTATAACCAAAGTTATTTGATTTGTCAGGTCTTCCTGTCACACCATGTCGGTATATATTATTATTTTTTGAGTTGGTACTTATTTTAGAAAAGCCAACTTATTTAACGATTTGTTAACTTAACTTATTTACATGTAAAATAGACTTACGGACTCGAGTGATTTTCAGGTTAATTTGTTCACCTCTGGTGTGCCTTCGTCATATTTTCTACATGCATTCTGTACACGCCTTTTACCCACAGAGTTATCTATATATTTATTTTATAAAATGGACGTTGGTTACACTTGTTGATACATTTGGGTTAAATAATAATTTCAATTTAATAAATCACCCTATTCATGCAGTGTTGCTTTTTTAAGACCTTGCGATTGTGCGAATGCCCGAAGATACATGTATTTTTCCTTTTTGACAGATCGGTCGATATCTTGCAGTTTTTTAAACACGAATCATGTTCTGAAATCGATCAACTTTTTCGAAATCATATATTGATTCTATATAGGTATAATACAATGAAGTATATAACGTTAACATTGAGTATAATAGTTAAGCAAACCCACGACAAGGCTGTAAAACGTTGTATAGGCGGGTCAGCATCATAGCAGGTTCGCGGATAAACGCTTATAATAATATAATTATAATTACCAAAGCTTTATTTTTGCTAGCCCAAAACCCATCTCATTTTTAGAATTACTTTAGACCAAAATATCGTACACGCCCATATAAATCGCTCTTATACGCGATCTATACCACGAGGCCAGTGAAAGTAGGTCGATCAAGGATCAATATTTCAGGCGTAGCCGATGCCCAACTAAACGTAAATTGATGTCTCTGACACTCATGTAGGATGTAGCTGATATTGTATAGTTATATCAGTCACGTACCTATAAGACAGAGTCACATAATGGACGCAACCACCACGCACCATAAAGGCTAAGTTAAGGTTAGGGCTATAACGTTTTAGAGACATAACCTTTGATGGTATATTATTAGTTTTCTAAAAGAGCAATTACGCAATATAAATGATAAACATTAATATTACACCTACGAACACATCCTGTTAAACTAAAATGTATAATTTTTTCCTATACCTATATGAAAACTATAAGACGTAACTCACTTACATTTTTTAATTTTTTAGTCAAATGTTATCATAAATTCATAATATTATTAATTATTATTGCATAGATACTTTTAGTTTTGATTCTTAGAAGTGTACTCTGTTCTCCATAACTTTTGGAGACATTATCATTTCTTTGAAAAATGTTTTATCTGATTATATATTATAAACAATTAATTACCTATACAGGGTCATTCACCAAGTAAGCTCCCCTCATTTTTCCTTAATAATGAATTTATTATGATTTTGACTTTTTACATTTTCATATATACTTTTAGACCATACGTTTTGTCCTGTGGTGATAAAAATTTAAATTTTTTAAATCAAAACCCTCTTTTTATTATAAATTATTTAGTGGATAGGTTTTTTGAAAATTTTGATTTACTTGCCTGATTCAAAATTAGTTCGAGTAATTTCTCAGTTATTAAAATGTTTGTACCTAATAAGTATAAGTCCTTAAAAATGGTTTTAAACGAATTTTAAATAAATGAAATATTGAATCTAATATTTATAATTCTTGGACGATTTATAAATGTTCAAATTATAAATGTTGATCGATTAGTATAAATTACTAAAAATGTTCAAACAACTATAGCTTCCATAACTTCCTATTATTAACCTATTATCCTTGGTAGGTACTCAAAGTTAAATAACTTAAAACTACTCGTTTGAATTTTGATCTATATGTATGTCCACATTTTCAGAAATATATCCACTAAATAATGTACAGAAGAAAGTGGGGTTCTCATCTGAAAATAGAAGGTTATATCTCCGTAATCTTTTAAGTAGAACAAAAAATCTCATGAATTTAAAAATATGATCTCTAAGTATATTTAAAAATTCATATAATCAGATTTTAAATAACTCCATTATTAAAGAAAAAAAGGGATGAACATGTTTGGTGAATCACCGTATATTATAATATGAAATAAATAAATAATATAACCATAAAAATATATACTTTTTTTCCAAATTATACTATATTTGAGAAAAATGCATCTAAAATACTTATTTAAACGTGGTATCAGCTGTACCTTGTATTTGAATACAAATTAAATTAATCTATTTTTTTTTTAACAAAACGCATGACCTCACATCAGTGGCGTATCGTTGAGGGGTTTCCATCCCACCGGGAATTATATTCCTAGCTATATATATATATACTTGAACTTTTACATGGAAAAAAAGTACCGACTAAAATATAAATTAGAACATTTATTAAAAAGACATTTTGGTACTCTATCGATGTAGATAAAGTGCAACCGTGATTTATAATCGAGGTAATCATTAATTTATTGTTTACCATTTCATAGGGACTTGTACAACATTATTATCCATTATATGTAATTGCACCCCCGCTACCACCCCCGCCGCAGTACACAAATACGCCACGACTGCGTTTCAAAAGCATTATAATGTTAACATATTTCATAATAATCGGTGTTTCAGCTGTTGACAAAGATCGACTTGACGTGCCTGACGACGCCGATGAGCCGACTTCAGTGTCTGGCCGTGGACTACGACCAAACTGACGGCAAGTGTTACGTGTACGTGACGGACGCGGCCAACCGGGCGGTGATCGCGTACGACGTGGCCGAGTCGAAGGGTGCGCGAGTGGTGTTGCCCAAGGCGATCGCGGCGGGGTGCACCAAGCGCGACGTGCTGTACGCGGCGCTCGTCCGGGCAGAGTGCGGCGGCGGCGCGGCGGCGCTGATCGTCACGTACCTGTCGGGCGCCAGGGCGTTCACGGTCCGGACCGAGTACCTGCGCCGAGGTTCTGCAGGAAAAGTGACGGACTTGGGCGTCAAACCGGACAGAATGGTACTAACCCGGCGACCTTGTCGCGCACCGTTTTAATTTGTATTACAATGTACAAAAGTGTTAAATCGGAGCACATATTATTTTATAGGTATATTATGCGAACGAGAGGGCGTCACCCGCGATATTATTTTTCCCCCTTGACAGATACACAATATGTGTGAGAAGTTATACTAAGACATAACATTATATTATATCGTTACGAAAGTGATGTAAATAATCAAAAAAAAAATGTTTTTTTTCACAACACTGCGTTGACGATCGTTTTCGAAACGACGACCCACACAAAGCCCCAGCAGTAATTTTTTAAGGCGTTGTGCATAGGCTATTATTTTGTTCCTCGCGGGCTTGTCTTATCTTTGTGTGATACATAAATTGCTGTGCTATTATTGTTTCGTATACAAATATGTAGATGCAAAGTACACTAATTGTGTATGAACGCAAACGTCTTTACAATTTTACCACAGGAAGTACTTTTATTTTCGTATCAGGCGTTTAAGTTGTATTAATGAAAAAATTATGGGGTTAGTAGGAAGGGTTTGGGGACACCAGTTAACGCTTTATATCAATAAGAAGAATACGGTGAAGTATTGCTATGGCTGCGGTCGCGGTAGTGCGGTTTGGTTACTCGTCATTGTGTGGACTATTTAAAAATAATTAATAAGGGGTTACAATTTGCAATATATACACACGCTAGTATAAATTAAATTCAAATTGTCTTGTATATTATTAACTTAACATAAATATGAGACCATCCTAAAATAATATTATATAGTTAAATGGCCATTTCCAATTTATTTTCGAAATAAATTTAAAGATTAAAGTTGAAAATGTCTAATTTAAACTTAGGTTACCTACGTTTAAGATGAAAAATTCCAAAATAGACTATTAGCGACTTTTCTAACTATTGTTGTCCTTTTAATGATAAAAAAAAATATATTGTAGTCTAAATCGGTCTCATAACTACTTCAGAAAGCGACTGAGCGTATTAGTATTTTTTACACATTTAACTACATCCGTTCTCTTTTAAGAGCATTTATTTTTATGTTTATATTTTCTACACATCTAAACTTTCAATTTTCTAGTGTGTGCGTGCGTGTCGTGTTATTGTGTGCTTAGTAACTGATCGTTAGTGTGTGGACTGCAGTGTAAAACAGATATGAGACACGCACATGTCACCGATCTGTAGTCCAATAGTAAAATTTTTCACTAAAAATCATGTAAGTTTTGTAAATCGTACCAACTAGACTATAGTAATGCGATAAAAAATGTGAAAACATATTTAAATTCGTTATGAAATTTAGTTTAGATGTCATTTTTTTTTATACAATTGCTGCGTTTAAAGCTATTCAATTTTTATATATTTAAATCAAATTTAAGAGATAAGAGACGAAATTTGAAGAAAAAAACATGACCAAAGTAAACAATAAAACTAATTTGAATAATATGGTTTCGGAGTTATTATAGAATTACTATTTTTATCGGTCCGATTGCTAAAAGATAGAAATGTTTTCATTAAATAAGGCCGTTATCAGATCTTCATAATTTTCAAAATGGATTGTGATTTATTACCTAACGGCTAACAAGTTTTCTATATTAAAAGCGAATTCCAATTTTAATTCCAACTAAAATATCAATGACTTTAAAATTGGTATTTTCGTACTTACATATTTTTTGTGTTTAATGTATGCATATTTTGGAATATTTGCATGTGTTGTAACTTGTAACTAATGCATATATGCACCACTGAAAAAATAGTGGCACAGCTCAAAAAATACGTTTTTCGAGTTATTACCATCAAAATTTACAGAATTTCATCCTTTATATTTAAGTATGCTTAAAATAATAATTTATGTACCATTTCACCTTTGTTTTATTGTAAATCTGATTTTCGACTTGAGTCATTATTTCTGCTTAAAAAAAGATATTTTATGTTGCCGTACATCATATAAAATATTTTTTTTTCCAAACAGAAATGACACAAGTCAAACTGAAATGAGATTTACAATAAAACATAGGTGAAATGGTACTTAAATTATTATTTTAAGCATATGCAAGTAAATTAAACAATATGAAGAATAATATAAGATTGATAAAAGAAAAATTAATTAAAAAATCTATTTATAATGAATAAATTACATAATGAAACAAAACTTGTAATGAAAATAAAATCAAAACCAATGTCCCACAATTCGGATAAACATAATATATAGATCTCAATACCACTTTCTATATTTCAATGACACCAGTTTCATATGTTAAATGTAGATGCCAATAAAATAATTTTGTACAAATGTACACGTGTACCTACCTAACTATGCTGTTATGTAAAAAATTATTATAATAATATTCTGACACTGCAGCAGCTGTTGCATCCTGTTTAATATGCCCACGAGTATGCATTTTTTGTCTTTTTACCAAAACGTCCTAACCGTGTATGAAATTGTTGGTGTTACATCTGTACAAACTCGTCATGCATATTATATTGTTATGCTACTCCCTATTTTTCCATAGATTATTCTCGAAATATTTTTATTTTTTAGTAATATCGATATGTTTATTGTCAAGTTTTTCTCGATTCAGTGAATAATGTGATATAGGTGAACTGCATCCAGATTATACACATAAGGACTGAGTTTGACATCAAAAATTCGACGACCAGTAATAGTTTTATTTAAATCCAATTCAAAAAATTTCTTTTATACGAATCGTCCACCTATTTACTGCTCTAATTTCGTCTTAAATGATATCGAGTCTGCAATAAAGTATAAGTAAACAGCTACAAAATTATCTAAAAACAAAACTGCATTAGATAAATAATTGTTCAATATCAAGGGAAATTATTGACCTAAGCGTAAAAAGTAAAATTCTCACCAGTTTGATGCGATAATATTCTATTTCTACATTATGTGCGATTGACGATGACATGGCATACTTAAGGATCGTACACGCAGTACGTAATGATAATAAATAATATCGGTTTGATCATATTGTCAAAAAATATATTGCACGTTATACACTATATTATATAATATATAATACGGCTCCTCATGGCTAACCTCCCAGTGGGGTCTTCCGAGGGTAATGCTAATAATTCTAACGTATAAGTCATAATTGTACCTACCTATAGTTGAAAAACGGCCGATTAATGCCATTCTCCGGTTTCAGGTGATTTTGGGCACAGACGGCGGCTCGAAGCTGTTCTTCCGGTACGACGGTTCACCCGACGTGCAGAAATGGGACGCGGCCCTACCGTTCGTCGCGGAAAATTTTTCACCTGTCTATCGGTCGGGGTCTTGCTTCCTGGCCACCCAGGTGATGGCCGACCGTGACCGGAATCGGCTCATGGTGCTCGAGACGAACTTCCCGGACTTTGCACAGAACATAGTCGGCTGCGGAATAGTGCACAACGTTCGAGTGCTCGAAGGGTGCTTTTGATGACCACCCTCGTGGCCCTTTCAACTCCGCCAAGCGGAGTCTGCGGAGAGTCATCGTTGACTACTTGCGCTGCTTGCAGCAACCTAAATTATGTTTATCGGTATACTACCACCAGCGAACTCAATTTACCGAATATTAATTTTAATATCGTTGATAACTCCTTATAATATACTATTACTACACGGAATCGTTTACATTCACCGGCGTAAACCGGACGGTATACTCGAATTGTTTCGGGAGTAAATGTATAGCCGCCCGACGTTAGTAGGATGAAATTTACTTTGTCTTTTAAATAAAATAAATATTAATTTCAAATCGTATCAAATAATATATTATTATTTACATTTTTACATAATACTTTATGTGAAAAATATGGTTCATTATATTCATTATCATTGTTTTTTTTAAACATCACTCGGCACTCGCTCAACACATTAAAAATTGGAATTTCTGAGCACGTCCCTATGATGAATTATAGAATACAATTCAACATTATATCTATAAGAAAGCAACATTCCATAAAATACTTTTTGAAAATCGTTGTCACTGGAAGAGAAATAAGACATTTTTAAGTAGAATTATCGATTATTAATAAACATTTTAAGTAGGTAGATGCTGAGCGAAATGTATTGTGTGAACCTAACTTTTCATCTAAACTTTAAATATACATATTAGTTCCTAATACAAAATCTATTAACTAATTTGTATGCATCAACAAAGTATTATTATTTTCATTATACAATTAAAAAAACATACAACACCTTTACACGATATGACATAATAAAAAAACAATTTTTTCGTAAAAATATAATACTACAAAAAAATCACTGTCTAAGGAAAAATTAAATCTATATGTGCATACATAATAATTCAATTTTACAAAAACCACCTGATTAGTGATTTGTAGATACCAAACGCTAACCTTTTTATTGAGTTTAATAAATTGACAAATATGTATATAACATAATATTCATTTGAATTTTGGATATTAAATTCTTAAAATATTATCAGTACTGATTATCCTGATTATATATCAGTAGTTTTTGAAATAGAGATAAAAAAAACGTTTATCTGAAATAAATTAGTTATGTGTATATTATTCTATAGTTATAATATTAGTTACACCTTATACACCACTCTAATGTCTCTAATAAATGAATTAATTAATAAACAAAAGATAGATTTTTATTAATATTTATATTAAATATATAAAAGTTATTTAAAATAAAAATGTTTATGTCAATAAAAATATAAGTTGTATCATAATATATGTTTTAATTTTCCATAAATTAAATATATAGCAAAAATAGTTATTGTTTCATATAAATATATTGTATATTTTAAGGCGTACGATATACTATAACCACGTATACGAGTATACTTGGCAGCTCGAAGAACTATAAACTAACTACCACTAACAACGCAACAAAACATACAATATTATTTTTCTTTGTACTAAAATAAAATACAATCTTTTTTGTGGTCCAAACTATTTACTATCCACATAAATGAAAATGCATATTATTATTTTATTCAATTCCATATTATGTGCACAAAATAAATACTAAACAGACAACAACATGGTATTATAACGCTAGTAATTTTTTTAGATTATTTTTATTCATTGTAAAAACTAAAAATCGTTAATATACAAAATTCTTATGAAAGTTATAAACACAACATTGTAGTAATATCATAAGCTAATATAAAAATATTACGTTCATCAGCCAATTTATTATGTAGTATAGCGATTAATTGTGCAGTAGGCACACAACATTAGTAAAATATTGATGTTTGTACCTATATAATATCAGCTAGACTTATCACACGCACTTTAAATTATTATATAAGTCCTTATTAATTTAACTAACAATGATAACAATTTGGTTTAAGATTTGGAAATCACAATCCTAAACATTTTAATTTAAAATAATTACCCAATTGAATACTTTATAACTTTACAGAAGTAGGTATTACGCCTATTTCTGTCACTACGTTTTAAATATTTTAATTTTTATTTTAAAGAATATTTACCATCTATACTTGTCTAGTATACTATACCATAAATTTCACAGACAAATATTATTATTTCATTGAAAACGATGTTTATTTAAGTCTAATAGATATTTTGTGATCGATGTAATTGCATTAATGAAAAAAATTAGTACATCTCCTAATATGAATACCATTTAAAACACTATACAAGCATAATATTACACATTAAATTCAGATCATTTTTGCGTAATGTTTGTTTGTTTAGTTTAATTCTGTGCATGTCATATTGATCATACTAAAATATGTAAATAGCTGGTATCGTACTGAATACTTTTTGATAATAATTTAATAAACAGTGATATTTTGTCATCATATTCAAATTAACAATAACCATTGTTAGGTCATTAAATATCTCGTTTTTAATAATAATGAATATTTAATGCATGAATAATAAAGAATTATGCGTATTATTCTGAATGTAATAATTGTTGTATATTAATTATAATACTGAAGTATGATAATTAAAATGTAATATTTTATATTTTACTTTGGTCGTTTCATGACAAAGTCGGTGTAAAAAACAAAAACTTTTGCTTAACAATTATCTAACTGAATGCAATTATAGCAGGCTGAAAGATTTATGATTTTTTTTTTTATTTTCAATTTATATTAACAGATTTCTTAGATGGTATTTAAAGTTAAAAAATATAATAATTAACTATTCAGTTACTTTATATACAAACAAAAATAAATATTTATGAAGTAATTGCTTGATGTTTACCTGATCAATATGGAAACCAATAAAGTTGTAAAATAATGTTTATTATAAATTATGTATTATAATATAAATAACAAAATTCACTTAAAAAGATAGTTTTTAAGTAATATAAAATAAACGTTTGTGTTACGATTGGGTTTGATGAGTGAATTGTAAACGAGAACGATTCTTTTAATCTTTATTATTAACTATAATAAATTTCGTTATGCACTTAGTATATATTCTTAAATACAACATATGCAACTACCTACCTAGAGCTTATTTCGATTACATTAAACGTGTATACATAATATTATATTGTAATACGCATAAATCTTAAGATATTTTACAGGCATAAGGTGAAGTTCCAGAAAACTGTATACCCAAAATGTTGAAACAAAATGTATAAATGAAGTTGTCTCCTAGACAGGAAAAGCATTGTGTAACCCAATATTTTAAGGTTTATTTTCAACATTATTTTGTGATTTAAGTTGTTCTGGCACTATGCGTCTATACACGTCATGCATGCCTATTATATTAATACAGTTATCTTATAATGTTATAACTATATTTTTTACGAATTTATACCATAATTTTCATTGTTATAATTGCGCATACTTACGTTGGGCGCCACTCTTGTTTTACGGAATGGACATTCCCTGATGTTAAATAATATGTGGTCTATAATACAACCAGCGTTACTCAGGTTTTCCTTTAATTAGTAAAATAATTAATTTTTAAAACTTTAATAATTTAAATAAATTAACCTCGTTAATATGGTCCAAGAAATTATTTAATTTTTAGCATTTAAAACGGAAAAGTTTTTAATTCAATTAGTCAGATGCCTATAATATAGCTGTGTATTTATACCATATTAATGTTATACATACCTTATAAGTTACATAAGTTATAACTTCTAACTCAAATCTGCAGATAATTAATAATATAATTATGAACATTGGATATAGATTATGGACATAAATCTCAACTAAGGAGGCTGAAATAGTTGAGTGACCATGCCCTCTCAAAAATTACGAATACCCTTGCTCCTAAAAAATTATTTAATAAACTCACATAATATTAAACTAAAATGAAAATATTAAAATTTGAATTTACTTTAATTTTTTTTCCATTACCAACCTATAGTTACAACATTATTAATACAGAATTCGATCGATATATTATAATATGTAGGAACCTTCATTAATACACTTTTAAAATTTAAAAATAATAATTTGTATTGCACATTTGCACCTAATGGAGAAATGTTCTCCTCGAATGATAAAATAACCTTTTACGTAGGTAATTTAATTTTAAACAATATCTAAATTTGTAAATAATGTATGTAGGTACTCACTACAATATTATACCACGAATTCCATTAAAACGGCACATGGGTACCTGAAAACCTCTGTTTATTTATTATTATTAAAATAATAAAATTCATTATTGTTTGTAACAAGAAAAATATTAAATATTTATTCTTTTGGCCATATTTACATTTTTTCTACCTATCTAAAAAAAATATATATCGTTATACCTACCCATAATAAATTTGTGAAACGTAAATAATTGTTTATAAAAACTTATTTTTAACCACTTTAATGATATATTACCCTACACCCATCATATTTTAAGGTAAATATCATTATAAACGCTAAATTACGAAAAACTTTATCATTGAAATATGTTATTAACTTTATTAAGCACCTACGTGTTGTAACTAATAGAATTTATCGTAAAAGAAATTTTGGTAATTATATAATTATAAAAATAAATCAAAAAACTTAAATACTTTAGGTAGGTACCTAGTTAGGTCTATATATAACGCAATTGTATCCCAAAACGTTATTATTACATTCAACTACGTGGATCAAGGCGGATTTAGCCAATAATGAGAGGAAATTTAAGAGTAGATTTTCATTTTGCAATACTTTAACATAATAAGCGTATCCGGGGGGGTTATTGGATTTCAGAATTTCCATAAGCACAATAGAATCTATGTATATTCTGGAATGCAGAAGATTTTTTTGTACCCGGAAGCAATGAACATTTTACGTATAATGAGCAGGGGAAACTGAGCATTTTTTATGACTTCGTCGTCATAAAGATAAGAGTTTATATCCACGTATATTATACTACTTAATAGTTAATTCAATAAAATAAAAAATTGCAACTTCATAATTTATTTATAGAAAAATGCACATGATACAGATAATATAATATCGTTTCAAAGTTCGAAAATATGTGTACCTATGTAAGTTATAAGTATACAAGTATGCAACATCAAGTGAATAAAGATGAGATCTATAAAGTGGAAGTTATAGTTCCATCAAACAGAGTGTCCCAAAGGTCCCGTATCACCATATAATTACCTTAGTCAATGTAGATATGTAAATGCTGTTTTTTCCACAGTAATCTATATGAAATGAAACCTATGCGTTAATTTGAATTTTCTTATAGATAACTGTTGTTGAAAAACCACATTTATTGATGTATTGATATATCACAGGGATGATGTTGTTGCGTACTATGCCTGGCATAAATAATAAACAAGTAATAATATTTTATATAATTTGATGTTTACCTGCTTGCGCGATTTATACCAGCTGTTACACGTAGTGTAGTATTCATATTTCATTCATTATATTATGTATAGGCATAATGTTGTATTATTGTTGTATAATATAATATATAGGTTGGCACTTACATATTTGTCATATAAACTTAACACATTAAATTCGTATTCATTTCGCATATAATTAAAACGAAAACATCCTTTGATTTAGTTAATTTACGCTCCCCTAGTCCCCTAAACCTGCTGCCGTATACTCGATAATATATTACAGTAGATTTATATAAATATATATCTATGACATACGGGCATATACCCTCCCACACAGTCTGTGCATTCAGAATAATATAATATGTATCATATGTATACCTACGTACATAATATATCATACGGAGTGAACCATTTACCTGACTACATTCATTTTTACACGTCAATTTCTGTATTTTTTCAATTAAATGTTTTATGTGGGTAATTGAAAATACTTATAAAACTATAAGTCTAATGTCTACATAATATTATACACGATAATATTGTTAAAGAACAAATATTTATTATTAATAAACATTTAAAGGAAAATATGCTGAGCGGAATTTAGATTGTAGATCACAACTTTTCAACTAAACTTTAAATATACGTCTTGCTAATACAAAAACCGTTTATTCAATGCTCAATAATATATTTTATGAGTCAGCATAATGTTGTTTTTCTGATTATAAAAACTAAAAAACATACAAAACCTCTAGGTATACAATTAGAAACTATATAATAATTATATTTTTTTTTTTTGTAAAAATGTAACACTCTGTAAAATTATGCTTTTAAAACTAAGTACCAAAAATCTACTCGGATAGTTATTAGAGTATTCAGTTAAATAAAATAATAATCACCATGTTTCACGTGGTACCTCTTATAGTCTTATAAATGTACAAGTACTGTAAACGGTGATGGTTATATTCGTTATACATATGATATATATAGATATATATGTACACTTATATGGGATGACATAATATATACGACTATATAGTATATTATAGGTATTATGTCTACAGTTAACGAACGTCGTCTATATCCGCATATAACAGTCAATTATAATATGTACAGGATGATTCGCCAAGTATGCTCACCAAACGTATTAGCTCGTATAGTTGTATCGTCACAGGACAATCCTTAATGGCATAAAAAAACATAAGTACATACTAGAAAATATGATCTTTAAGAGGACGTAACATTGACATTTGTTTTCTCCGTCTTACAAGTGCGTGACATAGCAAATGCAAGCTCAGCAGACCACGTTTAGCTTTGTTCGTCTAAAAATATACTTACCTATAAAACTTGATTTTAAGAACATTATTATCTGTGTTTGTATGTAAGTTTCTTAAGTTAATTCAGTGAGTTATGAACATTTTTAATTTACTCTATATATTATATACAAAACTTGCTAAAAAATTTAACCATCTTAAAAAACCCACATAAAAACACAGATACTGTTCTTACCATCAAGTTTCATAATAATAGGTCTATTCACTCTAATTTTTAAACTAACGAAGCTAAACGTCATCTGCTGAGTGTACATTTGCTTTGTTACGAGCTTGTAAGACGGAGGCAACAAAATATGCCAGTGTTACGTCCTATTAACTTTTAAGTATACTTAAAATTTGAGGAATCAGAATTTTTATAAATTCATTATTACGTAGGAAAAATAAGAGTGAGGCAGTGAGCATGCTTGGGGGATCTTCTTGTTTATATACAGCGTGTATCTCGAGGGATTGACAACATTTCTCATTTAAATTGTCAAATCTCCCAGATACTATGTGTATGTAGTGTAGAATATTATATTGTGTACTTGCATATACTTATGATAATGTTTATAACGTATTAATTTTGACCAGGTGACGGTTTTCCGCGTTGGGCATAGCGTTTAGGGCCCACACCTGCCTATAATTCGTATTATCCGTGAAAATCTTTGTGACCGCCGGTAACAGGTCATATGACTGCAACAGCACCTTATGGTCTTCAGCTGCGACTGGTACGCCACCCATCATGATACTCAATCTATATTATAAAATACATAAAATAATATACGAGTAAACTCGAATAAGTCGTTGACTTATTGAAATTCTGTATATTATAATATATGTAGGTACGGCAATGTTGCATAATATTTTGTATGAAATGTATTATTAGTTATTACTAACAGTTATATAATATTGATGGAAAAAACAACAAAGAATTAATGAATACATTATTAATTATAATTTAATTATTACCTATTTATTGTGTTCTGAATATTTTACAATAATGATTATTCATTTTGTCATAATATAATGAATATTTTAAAAACAAATTAAATAATTAAATAAATTAAATTAACCCAATATTGATGCACTTTTACACAACTTTGCAAGACAAATAAATGCAATTTTAAGAAAGTAGACAGACTTTGCAATTATTCTAAGTGCCATTTAATTATGTACTTACAAAGTTTCAAATTAATGGGTAATAATATAATTCTAATTAATCTCAATAAAATAATAAATAATATCTTATTTATTTAACTCGTACAATGTTATATTCCATCAATATTAAGAGGACGTAACAATGGTATTTGTTGTCTCCGTCTTACCAGTACGTATAACATAGCAAATGCACGTTCAGAATAACACTTGTAGCTTCGTCAGATTAAACATTAGAGTGAATTGACCTATTATGAAAATTGATGGTAAGAACATTATCTGTGTTTGCACGTTGATTTTTTAAGATAATTCAGTTTTTAAGTGAGTTATGAGCATTTTTAATGTACGGTATATTATATACGCATAACTTGCTAAAAAATTGAAATATCGTAAAAAACCAACATACGAACACAGATAATGTTCTTACCATCAATTTTCATAATAGGTCAATTCACTCTAATGTTTAAACTAACGAAGTTACATGTGTTCTGTTGAGCGTAAATTTGCTATGTTACTCACTTGTAAGACGGAGACAACAAATACCACTGTTACGTCCTCTTAAATAGGTATATAATTATTATCATTATTACAATTGTTTTGAAATATTCAGAATATAATAATTAGGTAATGCCTAATACAAGAATAATTATTTTTTTTTTGTTTTTTTCATGAATAGATATTACTATCCTCTATAATTGTTGCCTATTGGTAAGAAGAAATTTAATAAGAAATGTTGCATGAAAAATAATTTGTCTGTATTCGTGGTTCAATGATGCCCGGGCAATTTGTATACTGTAAATTGTCCATAACATACATACACATGACATCGTACATTTGTACATCACAATAATATTCCTAACGTACTCCTAACGGGGTGTCTCATCCGTGAGTGTTTATTTGCATGCGTCACAATGTCTGAAACATTAAAAATTAATTCGGTCTTGTGTTTTCGTAAAAACCTACAAATTCCATTGCTACAATGCTTATTATACGATGATCAGAGTTGCTATAAAGTTTTAGAAAACGTATTTTAAGTTGAATTATTGATTCCCATATCACATTAAATGTTCAAGTGTATATAACATGTTGGTACGTTTTTGTGGGAGATGGGTATAGTATGGTTGCAGGGTGAGCATCTCTGGAGTACTATAGAGAGGCTGGTCCGGGGACCAACAACAACCACTCGTATGATAATATTATCATAATATACGAATATACCTAAATGATATTGTTGTATTATATTCACCTGACTGCCACGAAATCTCTGGTGTACACGTAGTTGAGACCACCCTGTATGTCAGCGTAAAACCCGCCCGAAACGCCCAGCTTGACGCCTTCCCAGCGCACTCGCAATCCAACCGGAAGTACGTCACCATTCTGCAGCGAAGACAATAATTTTCTAATTTAGTCTCAAGTCGTTTCGACTACGATAGCGGCGACTGAAGGTTCTACGTTTCCGTATAAGAATTTAACGAATTAAATACGGAGACGCGGCGTGATGGCCTGTGTGCGGAATAAAACGAACACACGGTGTGCGGATATTATAAACACTATTAAAAAAGGGGAAAAATAGTTATTATATCATATAATACAGTATAATTATTACGAACGCTTTGTAATTTTAATTAAACTCGCGCGCGTAAATATAGTGTAGCGTTTCGTTGTAATAAGCGCACCCATATATTTACTCGACGTATTGTAGGTAAGTAGGTTTAGACGGTTTAAACGGTCGAGCAAAGGATATAAGAGGAGTAGGTATGTTAAACGAATAAAGCGATGGAACTGGGATAACATTTTAGGGGAGAGCTTACTTTTTAATATAGGTACTATGTAACGGCATGTTGCATCGAGTTTTCTAAACAATTTATTATTTGATTTCTTTAAAAATTAAAAATATCTATTATATGAATAATATTAATAGGTACATATTATAGTATTACTGTAAGGATGTTTAATTTATAATATAAACAAATTATTTTAAAACAATGGAATATTGTTGTTTTTTTTTATAAATGAAAACGAGTCAATAATTCCATTGTTGTAAATTACTTTTGTTATTTATTTTTCATGAGCTATAGCTGAATAAACACTACTTTGACGTTCTTAACCTAGTTTTTATTTGACACGTACATATCCGAAATCCAAAAACTTTCTTTTACACGTTAATCGTCATAAGTCAACCAACAACTGACTTAAGGATTATACATTTATACTTTAAATCCCGTATGTTTTTGGATATTGCGATTATATCCTTACTGCGACCCCTGTTTTATTCCGTCGCCATACGAAAGAGTGTTATATAGTTAGGCAAGCTGGCGTATAATATACCTTTATGCTAGGCGTGATGTAAGAGGTCAAATTCCGGAGATCCTTTAACGAAGCCGTGTACAAGTCGTGAGAGCGCCTCGACGTCAAGTACACGGACGACTGACGCTTGAAGAGAGCGATGCATTCTGCAGGCACGTCCGGGTCGACTTCCGGTCCGTAGTAGTCCTCCTGTATAACTGCCCCTCCGTGGTTCTGGATGCTTAATGCGACCATGTACCAAACGCTCCTGTCCGGTTCAAACACGGTGATGTGTCCGCCGCGAGCGTTACCCACGTACACCTTCGTCTCGCCTTTGAACGGTCTTGCATCCACCACCAGCGTGGCTAGTCCCGAGCCGTTGAGCCCACCGAGTTCCACCGACTGTATCTATACGTGTCAACAACAACAACAACAATCTGATAATAATACTATAGTACAGCGGTTCCCAAACTTTTTTCATTCAAGGCTCCCTAATAATTAAACATTTTTTTCACGCCTCCCTCAAAGAATATTCAATAAAATAGGTTAAAAATTGTTCAATATATAATATTTATTAGTTTTAAATTTAAATTTTGATGACAAAAAAAACAGTAAACTTTTATATTTTATTCTATACAAAATAATTAATGCGAACAATGTGCTTGTTTTTCGTTTATTAATTTTTCAAAATTAGGAATTAATGTAGTTACTGCAACACGCATTTCTTTTTCCACATTGAGTTTGGACCGATATTTTGATTTTAATACGGCTACAGCTGAAAATCCTGCTTCACATAAATACGAAGTGGCAAATGGTATTAATATACGTAAAGCTTTGTTGCTAACTTCAGGATATTCATCTTTAATACTGTTCCAAAATCGTATGGATAAGATAAGATAATCGTCTCCTCAAAATTTTTATCGGACATAAAATTGATCTAAAAATAACAATATGTATAAAATTCCAACCGCGCCGCGCCGCCCTTGTTAAGTGCTCGCGCCTCCTTTGGGTGGCGCGCCACACAGTTTGGGAACCGCTGCTATAGTATATGTGTATATCTTCTGTAAGATATAAAAGAGGGGTTTTGGTGATATTCTGAGTGCTCAATAACTCTCTCCCCCTCCCACCAAAATGTTTGAATTTCGTGATTTGTGATTTCTAAAGGAACTAATCGAATGTAAGTATAGTTCAGTATAAAGCATAATTCGAATATTAGTTAAGAAATGATGAAAAATGTAATATGTATATTGTATATTATATGATCTTTTTTTTTTTTTTTTTGATAAAAGCATTGATCGAATTTTTTCGTCTCAAATCTCATAGTTTTTAGCATCTAGCAGATCGGATGTAGATAGAATTTTTAAGAGAACGTTATTTTGGTTTTCTTATACTTTTTATATAATTCATTAGAAAAATATAAACTGTAAACCACAAAAAAACGCTCCAATATTTCTGACACACCCGTTTTTCATATTATTGATTTTACTTTTTTGCTACAACTCAAAATGTATAAACTAGAAACTATTGGAACTTTCATTGGTTATTACTTATTTATAATATTACTAAAATAAGATTACATTTTTCCAAAACAAATTGAGTATTTTGTGGTGAGGTTATTATTATTAGGTTTCGTTTTCTTTCATAAAATATTATATTTTCAGCCTAGTTTCCGCTCACTGATTAGAATCATTTATTGTAGATTGATTACAAAAAAAAAAATAGTGATGAACTTTTGCATTGTTTTATTTTAATTTTAATATTTACATTTTACATTACTATAGAAAATGTACAAGGACTATGTAAATAAGTTTATATCATCTGAACTATGATTTATTGGTCACATTATGTTGTTCGATTTTTAAAGATAAAAAAAAATATAACTACCTAATGTCCTAATCCATAATAATATATCCACCAAATGTTTTTTTGTTTTTGAGTACGTCATTGCAGTTTTATTCTGACGGAAAACGTATCGGACAACGTTGGCAGTGATAGCGAAATTATATTTATAATGTATACGTACACATTTGTAAGTCTTCAGGTCATAAACGATAATTTTCGGTTGACACTTGACGTTGTCATATCCGCTGTCCAGCACGTACAGGTGCCCTCTCAATTTGTCCAGGTCGACGGCAACAGCCGATTGAACGCGGCGACAGTCGTAGAGTTTCTGTTTTAGTAGGGAAAAACGAAAACTATGTGATCAGTCAATCTTGACAAGATGTTCAGACGAAAACACCTTCCACCGACCCCTAACATCAATTTATATTATAGCCCCGAGCGTGTATAATATTATTATATATTACGATGCATTCGAACGCGATAGGAAATTAAAACGAGCTATATGTATATTATGATTGCATTATAATAATATATGCTCACACGTTCACGTTTGATGTTTGAGTAGGTATATATGGCGATGCATAAAATATATATTATAATATAATACACTGTAAATTAACCTTAAATACGTTAAATCGAGGTTGTGTGCGGTATCAGATGAACCTTATGGTTAGGGCGACGGTGTAGTTTATTGAAATATTTTTCTTAAAATACACAAACCGAATTAAATTCAATACACAAAAGGTTCCTAATTAAATATTCGCCTCGAGCGATATTCTATCTGTACGCAATAAAGCACTCTTCGTACACACACTCACTATATATATATATACATATTTTAATGGGTTTCCATTGAGTGTGCATAGTAAAGTACATAGCTGATGTGTACATCGTATTTTCACACAACTGTTTATAGCTTTGGAGATGATGATGATGAATAATAATAATATTAATATGATTTTAGTCCGAATGGAAAATATAATATATTTCACTGAAAACACCTCGAGGCCCTAATAACGGTTGTTATTAATATTATTATTATTTTTTTGGTAGGACCTCATCCAAATATTATAGTACCGCATTATTATATTATACTACTCCTGGCGATGCCATTTTTACATAGGCCACAGTTAATGGTATCGGTCTTAATATTAAAATAAATTTATCACTAATATAATAATAATTACTTATAACTAATATTTTTTTTAGTGTTCTATACTCTCCACATAAAAAAGAGGAGATTTTTTTTTTACAAAAATGAATTCAATGTTTTGAAGTTGATTAATGAGGTTAGAAGCAAATTAACATTTATTATAAATGAAAAATAAAGTTAAAACAAATATTACTATCGGTCTTTAATGAACATAGTGATAAATTAATTTTTAAAGTTCTTATCGAAATATTCAAAAGGATTACTATATATAGTCAATAATACAGTAAAATAAATATATATATAATATATGCAATATGCGTTGAATTCTTAAATATATAGTATATATAAATAAAGATTAATACTTCAGGGGTAAGCCCTAAAGGATATATCCGATGCCAAATTTGTATTTAATCGTTCTTTGAAATTTTTTTCGCTCTTTAATGATTATAAACTTATTTATTTAAATACATCATATTATTATTATTTCTTTTTATTATTTATATGTACGCCCCATACTTCTAAGGATATAATTGTCGTTTCTGAAACACATTACATTTTAAAGATTTCTACAAAATATTTTAAGTACGATACATGAAAGGCTCAAGTTATTTTAATTATACATGTGATATATCTATGTGTATATTATATCATATCTACATCATATATTATTACATTGTGATTCTAAGTAGGTTTTTAATATTTCTAATAAAATAAAAAAAAATTCTGAGGTTGGCCAAATCGATTTGGTACGATCAATACCCACAATGTCTGACGCAATATCGACGATTTTATCTTATAATATTTTATGTATATATGTGTATGTGCGTGTGTCTCCACAATCATCATTACAGAAATATTGTGTTTATAGGACCGGGTCACGGACACCGAGAGCAACATCTGTCTCGTGACAGACATCGAAGGTCGAAATGTGTTTATAATGTGGCCACGGTGGATGCGATCGCTTCAGTGTGCGCTAGTATTATAGGCCTGGGAGTATACACATTATTTATAGGTAGTTATAGGTATATACACAGTATACGTAGGTAGACTGTAAGGCGTAGGTATATAGGGATACTACGCATTATCGCCTAGGCTCTAAGAAGAAGAAAAAGAGCGCTGAGAAAGAGGAAGAAAATATTCTACAAAACTAGTTTTTTTTTTCTCCCGATACGATCAATGAGTTTATAATATATTATGTAAATATATATATATTATACATATTTAAACGCGTGGCGAGCGTAATAAACAAAATATATATTTTGTTTTTTTATTATTGATAAAGGTGCGATTATTATGTAGTTGCGGCCGCAAAAATACAGACGCCCCGCCGAAATGATTTCTTCCGGCTTTGCCTCTTATCGTTTCGTGGTAATTACAATAGACGTCTTCAAGAGAGGTGGTTCTAGAAATACTCAACAAACCCATTTAAATAATATAATATATTATTATTATTCTATAGAAATCAAACGTTGCCGAGCGAAAGGTGCGCGCATCGTGAAAACGTCACACAGCAAAATAATAACAATAATAATAATAATCGAACTATAATACTACTTTCTCACAGATAGCAATATGCCCTTCGAACTCGAACAACGTGCTTTATATATAGTATATATTATACACAATACACATCTCATCTATTATAATATAGGTTATAATAATAATTGGGTAGATCCCGTCGAAAGATACGGAAAGTGTATGGTCGTTGGTGTGGCTCATTTGCAGTCGAAATAATAATATAATAATAACCGCTAACAATACCTCTGTATCAGAATAATTCGGAAGCTCGTTCGTTCGTCGCTCTCGTACATTCGACAACGGTGGTTTTCGATCCGACTCCCGGGTGAGGGTGATAATAATAATAATGAGAGCTAGCAATGGAAATATGAATGAACAGTGTCCTCATTTCAAGTTATATAAAGAGAGGAAAAATCGTAACCAGCCCTTATAAAAAAAAATCAATGTTTGTCCTACTTGTAACCTTTTTTGTCTTTGATTTAAGGGGGAGTGTGCTCTTCCTATATTGGTTAAAATAGATATTAATAATACATGCATTTTTATATTTTCCAGTCTAGGTACAATATATACATGCAGTTTACTATAGAAAATTAATATGAAATTAATAATGTATTACTAATTACCATTATGATGTTTTCACCTAAATCCATAATGTTAACACCGCATAATATATAATATGTAGATTGTAGGTATATTTTTAATCAATCTATGAAAAATAATTGAAATATCGAATATGTGAGTAAAAAAAAATAAAAATCGTATGAATGTATTAAGCATCTAAATCCCGATAGTAAGTTGTACGTTGTACCAATCCCACAAACAACCCTTTCTTCGGACTGCTTTTAAAATTAGAAGGAGTGAAATGCTCACTTTATTTCTAATCCACCAATAATGGTATTGATAAAAACACGTTGCGATACCTTTTCACCACCACCGATATAAATAATACAATAATACGTTAATAAGGCATTTTTATATCAGGTGTTCTACCGCCTTTATTCCTGCAAATGGTATGAGACATTTAAATCATTGTAAATCACTTAAAAACGTTGTTGATCTCCTGACAGGACCAAATACAATAAAATATATTTATAATACATTTAGCCACAAACGTCATAATATCTCTCCTAATTCGCGCAAGATGACATTTTTTCGAAAACTGAATTTTGCTTATGAACTTTTACATCGTCGCGTGTTATTAGATTATGGTAGTTGAGGTCAGAGAGCAATTAAGAAACGCTTGTTTTATATTTTTTAATGGATACCCATAAAGTGTATATTCTACCTAAATATTAAATCCTAAAATTATTTTACGTGTTTTCTAAATTGTGATTTCTACGTACCTACAAATGTAACCATGCAAGGTAAATTAAAATACATTTTAACGATGTTTTACCGATGTACAAAATATGTATATCATATTTAATGGTATAGATCATCTGCAGTATTCTTAATAAATTAGTTGATCCGCGGTATACAATACTCTTACCACTAATGTAAATAATAATGATAAAAGTGTAACAATAATACAAAATAATATAGCCATAACATAATAATAATATACAGATCGCAGTTTGTTTGACTATGTTTGTGTTTTTTAAACGAGGCACTACAATATCGCCACCGCCGACGTGAAATGTGTTGTGTGTAAATATATATTTTTGCCTTCTGCCTACGTAAATGTGAAAGTATTTAAGACCATTTTCGGACACGACCCGTACTTTATATATAGTAACCTATAGGTATATATACGGTATCGTCATATAGGTAGGTACCTATAACGGAATAGAATTGAATTCGTTTCTCAACGTGTCCGTCGCGTATGGCCGGGGCACACACAGCTCTGTAATACGTAATAATAATACACAGGTCGTATAGGTACGAACACAAACGAATACGAAACGCGAAGAATATATAATAAAAATATAATATAATGGTGGAAGGAAAAAAACAGCGAAAACCGTTTGCGTCTCGGGCAGCAGAGGTTAAATCCAAAAAAGGAAACGAGCTGTGGCGGCGGCAGTTGTGCGCGCTATACTACTACGGCTCTCTCCCCCGCCCCTGGCTCACACACACACACACACACACACACACACACACACACACACACACACACACACACACACACACACACACACACACATATAATAATATAGTATATAGTTAAAACAACGTTTTGCGAGCGTTTTAACTTCGTCGCCGTTTTTACAGAGCGCACACGCACACACACGCACACGTAAAGCACGCGCGGGGGTGAAACTCGAGTTTGCGAAATTTTCCCGACCAATCGATTTCGGTGCGGTTAACGCTCGCACTCCGCGAATTTCGCCTCCTCACGGCCGGTGTGCGGGTGGCAGGTATTTATATATATATATATATATATGGCAGGTAAATAAATATATATATGTATGCATTATGTATGAGCATGTGTATATGTATGTGTATGTACATATAATATAATATATACGCACGCAATATATACAACGACTGCAGTGTTGCACGTGCGTCGTCACCGAGGTGGATGAATAATATAATAATGATTGGTGGGGGTGAGTGCGTATATTATTATTATTAGTATTATTAAATAAGGGGCGAACTATACAACGCTCGTTTGCCGAAAAAATTCGTTTCTTCCGAGTAATGTCAACCGAATACGACCTACCCAGTGCAGATCGCCGTGTTGATGTTTTTTTCATAGGTATACCTTTACCACGTATCAAATGTCGATGTAACAGCACGGGTCGATGCGGTTCTTTTATATAGTTACAAATTTAAATTCACTTCCTACAGCGGTGTCACGTTAAACATTTGATGCACAATTTATGATATCCATTTTTATTAAAGAATAATTAAATAATGATAGTCGCACCATATTATTATAAATTAATTTATTTATATAGCGATTGTACACGAATAAAATAAAATAAATGAGACTTTAATTTATTAGTTTATTGTAGGAAATATTGTTTTGTACAAATATTGTACAACATAGGGGCGTAGCGTGCATGTAAGCACTGTAAGCACTGCTTACACTTTAAATGAAAGAAAAAATAAATTTGATCAATCACGACTAATAGGTACATAATAAATGATTTTTAAAATTTTAATTTTATTTATAAAATATTTAAGTTATAGCTGGTAGTGGTTTTTGTTATTGTTTATTTGTGTCGTACGCTGTCTACTGATTACCAACTATTTTAAGAAAATCATCGATTGTAGGTCTATTTTTAATCCATTCTGTATTATGTTAACTGCATAATCATAATACGATATACAGTGTAACACATTCTGAAATTGCTTACGGGCAGCTGTTGTTTTCGAATAGTCTATAATGCCATAGTGGGGGTCACGTATTTAACTAGCTTTTGTAAGCACATTTGATTTTGCTTACGCGAGAAAGAAGGAGCGACCCGTACGTAGCCCGACGCATTGTACTATTGTAGACTGTAGTCGTTTTTACGTACACTGTCACTGTCATTCGCCTAATAGACTTTTGAAGTATTTATACTTCAATTTCTTTATTTTCTCTTTATTACATTTTTTTATATATAATTTATAATTAGGTATTTAGGTATAGTACCTATATTCTAATCACTTTTGAAAAAAAAAATTCACTGCTTACATATTTTTAATACCCACGCCACGCCACTGTAATTATTAGTATCACTAAAAAAAATACCTTAGTAAATTTACCATTGAATTTTACTGCACTCCTCCCTCTTTATTGCCTACTGACCCCCTTAAATTCACGATTTCTGCTTGGTAAACCTTAACTGATAAGGCTTATCATACATAATGTTTCACGTCGATATTGCTGAAGCCTGGAAACTATTATATTATTGTTTATATATTATGAGAGAAAACGTGCGTTGGTTCTGTAAAACATACTATTACTATAACGTGAATTCGTATTTACAGCGTAGAATAATGTCGACTGCGGAAAGCCATTTTTATAAGCATAAGTATATACATATATATCATAATACCCAACCTCGCTTTCGTTTAACGTATAATATTATGTTATAATTGAATAATATGATAAAAGGTACACGAAAACTGCAAGTTATTATTATTGCCAAATGTAATATATAAACTAGAAACCCAAAATTATCGATTTTTCCATTTCCCTATACTTTATATAGGTATTACATTTGTATAGAAGTGCCGACCGTCAAGTTACGTAAGCCACAACGCATGTAGGTATATCTTCGAAGAAATCATTTACATTTTAAGCGCCCCTTCCTCATATTATACTTTAACAAAATCTAAGTACCTAGGCATTCTCCTGCACCAATAAAAAAAAAGGTAAGCCATTCTAAAATAATGATCAAATGCATATTTAGTATCATGTTTTTACAATTGTAATAATGTATTTAATATTTAGTTAGTTAACCTATAACAGTTATTTTCGAGGTTTTCATTTATTACAATATACAATAAAATACTACATAAAATTATTAAGGAACGTATTTGTACTCAATCTTAATAATATATTAAGTGGATTGGTGGTGGACATAACAATTATTTCATTGAACATGACTTGTACATGCGCGTGATTGAACTCTCCGATATTTCTTTTACACACTAATGATCACTTACTACGCACTTATTGACAAGACCCGCATGCATGCAATTTTAAAACTGCCGAATTCGAACTCCTTAAAAAACTGTACTCCACCGATCCTCTTAAACACACATTTAATATGAGAACAAAATCAAACTATTGTTTGCAATAATTAAAACAGTACCTACTCATTATAATATATCAATACATACGACTCAATATTATATAAGTATGATCACATATTTTATTTAAAAAACGAGTTCTACGATAACATTTAATAAGAGAATATTATTAATATTGTAAAGGTACTGCCTATATATATATATATATATTTCTTATTTAGTATATATTATTATAAACATCACATGTATATAGTATATATATATATTATGGGGGCCGATTATATTGACGACGAGGAAGTGGTCGGCGGCGGCTGAACGACCCGAGGCGATCGCGCGGAGATAGAAAAGTCGTCCGCCCGCGTGTTATATACGATTGTAATAATAACGACCGTTAAAAAATGACTTAACTTTTAACCCGTTGACGACCTTGCGTGAGGCGCCGCGTTCGCATAACAGGCGTTGTGGAGACGCTGTAAACGAGTTAGGAAGAGAGAGAGAGATTAGTGAAAAAAAGTGATAGAAAAGAGACCCGAGTGGCTGATATATTATCATAGATGTAATAATAATAATAATATAGTGCAATAATAAATATCAACATAGACGCTCGCACAATTCATTAGATAGGTTATAGGTATATCTACTACGTGTATACAGGGTGTCCCTGACGATTATTCTTCTTGTTTTCCAGACATGATTTTTTTAAATCATAATCATTTCGACACCGTTTATATTCTTTCCATGCGTTCTCGAAAAAATAGTTTTGGACCAGAACTGTGGCAATAACAGGAAACATTTTAATAGCACTCGGACGTGCCCATATGTCATATTTAAATTGTATTAAACAATCAAATGTGAATTACCAATTGTATAGTAGTATACGACCCTAAATTGTGTACGACATTACGGCGCCGTGGAGGTTAGTCGAAATAGACTTAGTGGCGCTACTGCAGTCACAATTTACCCA